TTGGCTGTGAGGGAGCCAGACACCCGTGCAGAGCCCTCCTCCCCAGAGGCGGCAAGGGCAGCCAAGAGAAACGCCAACACAACTGCCCCAGGCATGTGGAATCGGCTGTGGGTGTTGTAAGGGCTCAGACGCAATCCTGTCTGCTTTAGAAAAGGATTACAACTTCCCAAATTTTTATTAAGGAAGAAAGCAAAAACAGATTCTGAGTGGTATCTGATTGAAAGGCCGAGGCATCGAAGACATCCGAGCATGCCCCCGGAAACATACGCACCGCATGTGCGACTCTGATGCCCAGCGAACGGAGATCTGTGCAATAGTGAAGGCACTTAAATAGCCCAGATTTTTGGTGAGTATCACAATTTCAAATGTTCTATGTGCTATTGTCTCCTTGGGTACATGAGTTCTTGCCCGACCAGGTGTCCTGGTTTGGGGCTGGGAAAATGTGGTCTCCATAATGAGCAGGTATGGTCCAGCAGCCCGGCTGCCTGAGTCTGGAGCACCGAGCACAGTGTATCATAGCCAGCTGCTTACCAGACCCCCTGGGTCTAGGCTGGATGCTCCTGGAAGGCTTGACCTGGGTCCTTAAGCAGTGGAGGCTCTGCACCTAGGGTCTGGGACCCAGTGGCTGCTTCTTAAATCAAGAAACAACTAAATAACCAAAGGCCCATTGCATTTTGCATTGGTGAATGACCGAATAGAGGGAGAAGGTCGAGAAGGCAGGCAGGGAGGGAGGAAGAGGTTAAAGACAGTGGAAGAGCAATAGATCCCTTCCTCCTGGGAGGAATTGCTCCTTTGAAGAGGTGGGAATTGTGTCAGTTTATTATGATGATAATAAAGCCTGATTTATTCTGGCAGGTTCCCAAACCTCTGCCTCTCTCCTCCACCCCAGGCCTCCCGGCCGTGGTTAATGATTAACACGATCATGATAGCAACACTGCTCCTGCGAGGCCAGGGCAGTCAGCACCGCCAGAGAAAAAGGCTTTTAGAGACACCTGCTGCTCTGAAACCCCAATCAAAGCCTGCGGTGCTGGGAGATTTGTGTAGCAAGGGGGGGGGGGGGGGGCCAAGAGCGAAGATTCCAGCTGCAAACCCAGCACAGCGCCCTCTGTGACTCTAAACAAAGCACAGCCCACTGCTCCTGTCTGAGTCTTGATTTTCCCATCTGTGACATGGGCCGTTGAGATGCAATCAGTGGGTCTCTAACTGCGCTCCCTGCAGTTGTAAAGGTTCCACAGAGCCGGCTGGAAAGGAGAGACTGGAGCAGACAGAGGCCCAGTGCCACCGCCACTGTGGTCAGAACAGCTCAGCTTCTATCTATATATAGACCGGACCTCTGCGTAAACTTTCCCTTTGAAGAAAGGGTTTTGAGGTTAAAAATAAACTACAAATTACTGGATTGGGTGTCCTCTGAGGTTTCTTTCAGGTTTGACATTCCACTTCCCGTCCTTGAATCTATTTCTTGAGTGCCTACTGCAAGGTACGCACAGTGCTGGCCAGAAGGGCTGCACTGATGAGCAAGCTCGCCCTGCACCTGGAGACCTCAGCCTTGGGGTGGGAAAGATGCAGCCAGTCACGGTAGCCTCCTTAAAAGCAGCAGCTGGTAGGTACTCAGAGGCAGGAGCCAGCTCGTGAGGGCCCTCACTCAACCCAGGCAAGGTGGTATCCAAGCCATTTCTGGGAAATGATACACGGAGCCACTCCTCCAAAAGTGAGCCTAGAATGTGAAGAGGACCAGCTTCGGGACTGAAATATGGAAATGCCCTGACCTCCATCTCTTCTCCCCCAGGAGCCAGCCCTGCAGGCATCAGGACGTAAGACATCAGGTGCCCGCAACCACATGGTGCTTTACCTGAGCTCTCGATGAAGTCTTCGCGATCCTGTGATCTGAGCATCCTTATCCCCGTTGCACAGATGAGAAAACCGAGACTCAGAACAGCGAAGTGACTTGCTCAAGTTCAAGCAGCGGAGTCCACCTCCTCTTCACCCCTGCTCTCCACCCTTAGACTCGAGGTGACCGGCAGCCTTTACTAAAGATCCTCTGCTCTCTCCTGGGCTCTGCTATGGGGTGTAAAGGGAAGCGCCATTTGTCCAGGGTGGGGCCGGGGTGTCACCGAAGTCTGAGCATCCCCCTGGGGCCAGCAAGGCAGCAGCAGCAGAAATCAGAAGGGGGACCTTTGAAACGAGGTGACATGTAAGTCCCAGTCTGGCCTGCTCCCTGTTGGCCCCTCTTTCCTCCACCAGCCTTGGGAGGATGGGGCCTTTCATCCAGACGGGTGGCACTTCTTACATCACCTAGATTGGCGAGGCGAGGCTGAGGTCAACCTCCTCCATCCGTGGTCCAGGCCGAATGCCCCAAATCATTATATAAGGCTTCTATGAAAAACAGCAGCCCCTGTCCCATTTCTACCTCCCGTTTCTCACTTCCCTAAGGAAAACACTTTTAACTTTTTCAACAGCTTTATTGAGATCTAATCCACATACCATACAATTTACCCACTGAAAGTGTACAATTCAATAGCTTTTAGTATATTCACAGAGTTGTGTATCCATCACCACCATTAATTTTAGAACATTTTCATTACCAACCCACGCCCCCCCAAAAAAAACCCACACCCCTTAGCCACCAAGCCTGCCTCCCCACCCCCGGCCCTGGGCAACCACTGATCTACTTTCTGTCTCTATCAACTTGCTTGTTCTGGACATTTCATATAGATAGACTCATATAATATATGGTCCTTTGTGACTGGCTTCTTTCATGTAGTATGATGTCTTCAAGGTTCACCGTGTTGGAGCATGTACCAGTGTCTCATTTCTCTTCTTGCCTGATAATATTCCGTCGTGTGTATATACTACATTTTATTTACCCCTTTCTCAGTCGATGGACATTTGGGTTGCTCCCACTTTCTGGCTGTCAGGAATAATGCAGTGGGGACGTTTGTGCACAAGTCTTTGCACAGACATATGTTTTCAGTTCTCTTGGGTGTGTACCTGGGAGTGGAATTGCTGGGTCGTGGGGTGACTCTCTGTTTAACCGTTTGAGGAGCTGCCGGGCTGTTCTCGGGAGCGGCTGTAGCATTCTCCATTGCACCAGCGCTGCACGAGGCCCGAGGTTACTGCACCGAGACGGTGTTTATGAGGAATGTAGTATGGCGTCTGCCGAGTGGTGGAGAAAAGAGCAGTTCCCCTTCCCCTTTTCTTTACTGGCAGGCACATCGGTGTCCTGATCACCTCCAACTTGTCCTAACGCTTAACCTGAACCCACCCTACTGGACTTGTTCTGCATGCGAGGCAGAGTTCCTCTCTCCAGTTTACACCACGTTTGCGTAGCGGCGGCTTCTCTGGGAGCCCCACACAGCGCCTCACCTGCTCGTCCTCTGGCCACGATGGGGAGGGCCAGCTCTGGGCTCGGCCGCACTTCGAGACTGTTGTTCACGCTCCTGGCATCTCGAGCAGCTGCATTGCTGGGAGCATGTGGAAGCCCACATCCAAGTCCAGAACCTGGTGGCTTCTTGGCACTGAGGTTACACCTCCCACCACGTGCGTCCTGCCCGACGCCCAGCAGCTGTAGATGAGGTTCACGGAACAAGGCCCATCCAGGTATAGAATTCCACCCCTGACTCTCTAAGCCTCCCTCGAACACAATGGGAGGCTGTAAAATGCTCTAAGATAAAAGGACATGCAGGCGAGAGAACAATGGGATGGGAAATTCCTCCAAGACAGCCTCTCCTGACTTTGGACCCTGTGCCTTTAGCTGGATGCCCTCTACAGCCCACCCCAAGTCTCCTGAACACCTCCCTTTTGGTAGCCGGGCTTCTTATGGTTGAAAGTTATAAACACCCAACTCAAGATGGCTGAAGCTCAAAAGGGACCTTATGGGCTCATTTGACCGAGAAGTCTGGATGGCGGGAGGGGGCATCTTAGATGAGGTCACCCAGTCAGCATTCTCTCTTGTATAAATGCGTGTGCCTCTGTCTGCGGCCTTTCCTGCTGGAGACAGGCTTCCCCGTGGGGCTGCGTAGGTGGGACAGAGCAGCAGAAGTAGGTGCCACCCCTCAGACATTTCTAGGCTTAAGTCAACCCAGCCTAGAAACCTCAGAGGAAGGGGGAAGCGTCCTCTCCATACTGTCTGTATATAAAATCCCAGGGGTGGACCCTGATGGGCCCAGCTTGGGCCGTACGCCCACCCTGGCCATTCTCTGCAGCCAGACATATGACCCCTTGAGGCTCAAATGGGGTCACAATCCTGGGATTGGCAGTCCCACCAACACCCCTGGAGTGGGAGAGGTCAACCCCCGAAGGAAGATGGAGCGCTGCTTCCCAGGAAAGTGATCTAGAATAGACAAACCCAGCGGGGCTGCGTGAGGCGATGACTTCAACCTTCTCAGCAAGCACTGCGGCCCGCCAGTGCCCAGATCCTGTGACTCCTACGGGCTGCTTGTAATCACGCCTTCCTCTTACTGAACACCCAGGACCTGCCAAGTGCCTCCCATGTGTGTTCTCTAATCTGCACATCAGTGCTTCTATTGGGTGTCAGCACCCTCATTTTACAGACAAAGCACCTGTGGCTCAGAGAGGTCAAGTCAGTTGCCCAAAGTCACACAGCTAGAAAGCGGCGATGCTGGGGTTCAAGCTCTGGGTCAAAACTGTATGCTCTTTTGCCTTGTTCCCTCTCCATAGTGGAAGCCCCGAGCCAGCTGCTGTCTGTGCGCTGTCTGCCTGCACAGGTGCGTTCTCTTCCCTTTCTGACAATGACTGAAGGCTTCTGAAGGAGGCTGCTCCGCCTCTCTCCGCTCCCCATCATCTCCGGGCAGGCTGGCTCCCACCAGAGGAGGCTGGGACATTCATTACAAGGCTAACAAGCCTGTGCATCTGTCATTCAGTCCCAACACCTGCGTAAGCTTTGAAGACGGGCGCGGAGGGGCCGTCTCCCGCCCAGCAAGAGTGGCGGGAGGTGCTCCCACGTGCGTGGGCGAGGTCTGGGGGCGGCAGCAGCCGCTGCGTCAGAGGGGCCTCATCCTGGGGGACTCTGGCAACGGACGACCATCTCCTCGGACTCCATGCTGACAAAATGACCGCCCAGGAGGCAGGGACTTCAGGTTCTGCTCCCATCTCAACAGGAAATACAGCGTGCGGGTTCCGTTTGAATCCGGACTCGCCATTACGAGCTCTGTGACCTTCGGGACATTGTTGAACTCTCTCTGTGCCTCAGTTTTCTCATCTTTAAGATCACCATCAAGCTGTTGTCACAAGGCAATAGTAGGTAAAATTTATAAAATGCTCTAAAGGGGGCTCTGTAAAATAAATGCTAGCCGTTACTATTCGAGGGACCCTTGACCGAGGGGGCAAGGGGGGAGGGGAGGGACGGCAACCTCTCCCGCTCCAGGGGAGAACGAGTAGACCTAACTCCTCCCAGGGCAGCTGTGACATCTTAGCTCACACCCCAGCTCTGGCTCCAAGCTGTCCTGTGACCTCAGACAGTTCACTTCATCCCAAAGAGCTTCCGTTTTCTTATCTGCAGAGCAAAGGTAATAACACCTGCGCTTCTGCGTGGGTCAGAGCAGCGGCAGCAACCAGAAGACTCTAAATGATGGTTGGCATTCACAAAGATGCCCTGGCAGGAATCCCAGGACAGTGGAAGCATGAGGAAGGTCAGCAGGACCTTAGGGGCCCTGAGGAGGTGGGAAAGCTAAGACCAGGCTCTGGGCGTGGGGATCTGTGGGGGCTCTCGTCATCATCATCGTCATCACCATCATTATCATCATCATCACCATCATCGTCAGCATCAGCATCAACATCATCAGCAGCAGCATCAGCATCAGCATCATCATCGTCAGCATCAGCACCGTCCTTGGAACATTGGTACTAAACGCCTGATCGCATGTGGCAATTGATGGGGCTATTCGTAGAAAATTACATGACCCCTGCACTTGCCTGTGGATAAATTATTCTCTACACCAGTGGCTCTCAACTGGGTGTGATTTTGCCCCCCAAGGAACATTTGGCAATGTCCAGAGACACTTTTGGTTGTCGCAACCTGGGGGATTGTCCTAACTAGTGAGTAGAGACCAGGGATGCTGTTAAACGTCCTACACTGCACAGGACCCCCCGTAACAAAGAGTTATCTGGCTCAAAATGTCACTAGTGCGAGGCCAAGACCCTGCGCAATATCTTCGCCCTTGTTATCGAAAGTGTGATTAAGATTCAACATCACCTGGGAGCTCGTTCCTCGGGCCTGCTGAATAAGAATCTGTGTACATATTAAAGTTTGAAAAACGTGGTCTAAAAATAAAACGTGCATAGGGAATACAGAGCAGCAAACCAAATTATTAACCACGTAAGACAGACGCAGGGCATTGGGGGTTGGGAAAAACGGAAGAAGATAACAGGGGATGTGGAAGGACGGATGGATTGCTGGAATTAGGATTGTTGTCCAACATCTCAGATACGCCAGGCGCCTCACCAGACACTTTACCTAGATTCTCATTTACCTCCAGAGCAATCCCAGGTGGGAGGTTCCTGCTGCCCCCCCCGGGGCAACATCTGGAGAGACCACGCCTCCCTATCACACATCTCGAAGCTTTCCAGAATCTTCCTGCTGCCGTCTAAGCTGGATTATATAGAACATAGTGCCATACCTACGCCTGCATGGAAACCTTATTCACAGCTGGCGCCTGATGTTAACTTCTAGTTTCTCACTCAAGTAGGGACACATCATTTTTACACGTGCAAAGAATGCAGTTTTTTCCTTTGTTTTCTCTTAAAGGATCAATAAACATCTTGTTTTGCCTTCAACAAAAGTTCCGTGAATTCTCTATAATACACATTTATTTCCTTTTATTAAGAGGATACATCTCAGATTAACAATAAAATGTAGTAACATTGAGTTTTTAAGGTCCAAGAGCCCAATGATTGCAGCACAGGGACATAAGAAGAATAATATCCACCATTTATTAACCACCTGCTGTTTGCGATGTGCTTTATATCAGGGCCTGTAATCCGCCACACAAGCTTATTCCTTATTCCTATTTTTCAGAAGAAGCAGCTAAGGCATAGACTAGTGATGGGGTCAGGGTTGTAGATGAGACCTGCCTGCCCCACACTGCCTCTTGGTTGGAACGGCCCCTGGTTCACCCTGGCACGCCCGCCGGCTCCAGCAGAGGCGCTCAAAGTTCTCGTTTTGCCAGACTGCCCTCATTCCATCCCTATCTCCCTCTCCCCTCCATCAGCAGGGCCCACTTCCCCTCAAGCCCCAAGTTGTCCCTGGGCTTGGAAGATGTGGCACAGGGGTGTCGGTGCTGAAGATGGATGCCTGTTGACCTGGCCCAGGGGAGGACAGCCTTCTTCTGTAAAGGATAAAAGAGTAAATATTTTAGACTCTCCGAGATACATGGTTTCAATCGCATTTACTTGACTCTGCCATCATGGCACCAATGCAAGTCATAGACAACATGAAAGCAGATGGACGCAGCTGTGTTCCAATAAAACTTTATTGGCACCAAAATGGGTGGCAAGCCAGGTTTGGCCCCCAGGCTGACATTTGCCCACCCCTGACCTCTGTGATCTCCAGGGTTTCTCCACGCCCTGGTGCTCTGTGGCTTATGAGGGAGAGAAAGTCCCAGACTAGAGATTGAAAACTGGTGGTAAAGCCACACCCAGCTCCCTGACAGGTTTTGCTGAGCCCAGACAGAGAGTTTATTTTTTAAGGACATCTTAAACAGACCCCAAAAGCAGAGACTAGTACAATGAACCTGCATGAACCCATCGCCAGCTTCAGCAGCTGTCACCACTTTGCCAATCCCTTGTCATCTGTCCCTCCAACACACATATTTTTCTGAAATATTTAAAGCAAATCACATTATTTCCCCCATAAATCCTTCAGTACATCTCCCTAGCTGATGAAGACTTTTTAAAAACATAACCACACAGCCATTATCAGCCTAACAAAGTGAATAATTCCTTATTAGCATCTAGTGCCGCATGTGGTATTTACATTTCCCTAATTGTCTCAAAAATGTCTTTTTATAGGTGATCTGTTTGAATCAGGAGCTACACGTCGTATTCACACAGAGCTTTTAAATTTTTGAATTGGTTGTCAACTCGTGAAAATCTGGATTTCACATAAACCTCGGATTTTCAACTTCTCTTAGAAAAAAAAAAAGTGAAATATTTGCTACTTGGCAGCCTCACCCCCATGGCGGCCGTCGCACTGAGCAGCCAGCGCACGCGGGATGAAGACCCGCGGCCCCGGTCCCTCCCACCCCCATGCTGTCACCCCACAGCAGGATACCCACGGGCATACGAGTCTGCGATGCCACCCCTGGACTTTCTCGTCTCTCTCTCCCACTCATGCAGGAAGTCTCCCCCAAAGTGCCCCTTCATCATCCTTTTTCCTCTTTCAAAGCAAGTCTCCAGAGTCTACCCAATTCCAGGAGGAATCGTGTCGTGGGGGTGGGGCAGAGAGGAGGGGTCTACCCCGAGTGACTGGCCAGCCCTCTAGCCCCTCCAGTGTCTGCCTTCAGGGCACTAGGAAAGGCCCCCCCAGTCCCCTGAAATGCTCCCCTCTGGCTCAGCTTTTGCCTGATGCTCACAGAGCACAGAGCTCACTCCCCAGGTGGAGAACAGGCCTGCCTTGAATTCGCTGTGTGACCTTGAAGAAATCACTCTCCCTTTCTGGGCCTCAGTTGCCCCTTCCATACAAGGAGAGGGTTAATGCGCGGAGGGGATGTTGGGTTAGAAAACAGTCCACGTTGAGTTCCTGAGTGAGACACGAATAATCTCCAGCTGACAGCCTTGTGATCCTGTGGTTCTATTGGTCATACGTGGCCTCTCCTCCTCATCACCAGGACCGTCAAGGGGGAGGGGAGGAGAGAGGTACCACTCTGAGGAGCAGGAGCACGAAACAGTCCACACCCCGACTCTCCCTCTCCGTCTTCGCAGGCCCCGTCTTCGGAGTGTGGGTGCACGCTGGTTCTTGATTCTCTTTCCCTGTGGGTACCACCAGGTTCTGTCTGCTCTCACCTCAAAGTGGCACATACAGGGCGTCCCCTAGGGCAGGAGAGATGCTGGGAGATGCTGAGGCTGCCCCTGAGCCTGCGTGCAGGTGTGGGGTGGGGGGTCAGTGCAGGCAGGGCTGGGATGACAGGGGTAGGCTCAGGGTGTGAAAAGCGTGACTCAGGCACCAGCCCCCTCGGGTACTCAATCACGCCGAGGGTCCAGCTGCAGGGAAACCAGGTGACAGGCTCACCCGGTGGGGGAGGCAAACACGTAAACAAACACTTATGACAAAACGTGATAAATGCTAGAATAGAAGGCTGCAACAACCACCTTGGGAACACAGAGGAATGGTCTATCTGTTTATCCAGTTATGCATGCCTCCGCCTCGTTCCAAAAATAATTAGAAGAGGCCAGTAAAGCTCCATACGGCAAAACAAAGTGAATATTAAATAAACAAGAAGAGAAAAATAATGTAGGAAGAACACAGGGTAAACAAGGATAGAGTTAACACCCAAAATATCTGCCAAGAGTCCCGTGATCCTGCTAGAACTGACCCACAAATTTGCCTCTGAGCTTCCTAGCAGCCAATGCAAAAGGAGAAACCCTCAAAGTTGTACAATTCACAGTGTTCCTTAAAATAAAGCATGGGAATAAGTCTGGAGCAATCCCAATGCAACGACCTGAGAGAATTTCTCAAGCAGAGCCCCTACAACTAGGTGAGGCGTATATGGAAACTCTCTGCCCTAGATTTGCAACTTTCCCATAAATCTAAACATATTCCAAAATTAATGTTATTATTATTTTTTTAAAGTCCACAGGCAGAGCTCAACTATGGCTGCAGGTATTCCCCCCACACTGCAGGCCACCCAGACGTGGGCTGGTGCTATCTCTGTTTGTAACTCCAGAGGGTGTCGCTCACATCTACCCGATACCTGACACGGTGAGTTCTCTACAGTAAACGATTGCTGAAACAACTCCAGGGGTCAAATGGACATGGTGGGGGGGGGGGGGGGACAGGGAAGGTTGAGCATCTAGATCGTCCATAATGTATACCAGATGCGGACTCAGAAATGAGAGAGAACCCAACACATAATCCCGGGTGTTTTACAGGCGTTTCAAGGTACATCAGCCAGTCCCCATAATTTGACATTTTTGCCTATGTTCATTGGTTTCTGTCGATGTCATGTCCCTGGGCAGTGACAAAGTCACAGAATAGGATTTAGAGTAGGACTTGCAGAACATGACAAGGTTTTGGAGAACCACCGTTTTGAATAAACAAGTGGACTTAAATGGCTCTTTTTTTCTTCTTTTTCAAAACTATTAACTTTAAAGTGACATCATAATTTTTTTCGTAAGAATATAGATGCTCATGGCCAGAACATTATCCAGGACCCCTGACCTTAAGGCTACAAGGAAAACAAGCTAATGGGAAGGAAATTATGGAAGGAAAGATGTGATGACGCTGAATTCTGAATTTTTTAACATACCCATTGCCTTATTTTAGTCACTCTGGATCTTCGTACGGCGTGCCAAATCTCTACTTGGCCTCTAGACCTACCCAACAACCTACGGCCTCAATCCTGGACTGCGCTCACAGTAAATGACGGGATCCTTAATCAGAGCACGAGTCTCAGAACGAAAAGGCAATCATTTTGTAAAAATGCTGCTGTGTGCCGTGCAGCTAGATCTTTACAGTATGAATAAATCGACTTGAGATTTCCAGCCTCCTCCTCCACCCAAAAAAAGACTCTGGGGAATGGGGTAAATGAGCAAAGTTCTCCATCACAACTGTGCCGTTGACACCATGACACAACGGTATGCTTCCCGGGGCGAGAGTATCCAGCTCTGCCTGCAGAGATCACAGAAGGCTTCCCAGAGGAGGTGACTTTGGGCTGAGGCCTCAAGGATCAGTAGGAGGTTGCCAGTCTGACAAAGGAGAGTGAGTGGAAGGACTTCCACGCAGATGGAGAGACAGAAGCCAATGCACCAGACACCTTCCATCAGCCCCTTAAATGTTCTCTCTTTATTCTGCTCGGCGTCCCCTGGCTGGAGAGTTTGGCCGAGGGCATGCTGAAGAGGCGAGTGTGTTTCCTGTCTCAGCCAGGATCAACTTCCTGCCTGAACGTTAAGGTATCCACGCATGGCCGAGGGAGAGACCATCTGTCTCGTGTCTCTCCTTTTAAGGGCACTAATTCCATCATAAGGGCTCCACCCTCGTGACCTAATTACTTCTCTCAAGCCCGCCTCCTCATGCCATCACATTGGGAATTGGAGCTTCAACATCTGAATTGCGGGGGGAAGACAAAAATTCAGGGCATCGCAGTGAGTTATAAACAAAGAGCCCCATCCAGCCTGTTCACCAAAGCTCTTAACAATGGCAGCCTCGAGCCAAAAATGCCATCCTGCCCCCCCCGGGGGTGGGGTGGAGGTGACAGGGACATAGCTGTCTGTCTGAGTTCCAATTGCATGTCCAAATAGGTCATTTCTTGTGTCAGGCATTTCCCCAGAAAGGGCTAGAAGAAAGGGCTTGTCCAACACAGGAAAGTCAGAATGGAGTCAGTCACAAAGCCAGAGCCCATGGTCTCAGAGAAGCTGCTCAGAAACACCAGCGCTCTCACCCCTCTGCCCTCACGTCCCCCTGACCTTGGTCTTGGGGTGTCTTTCCAGATACAGCCAGGGAAAGATGCAAAGACTAGGAGAACAGCACTCAACTTCCATGCACATCAGACCTCAGGGAGCTTGTTGACGGTATAGACACTGAGGTGGTTAACAAGACCCCCTGGTGGCTCTGAGGCACAGCCGAGTGGGAGCCCCTGGACTAGGGAAATCTTGAGAGGGTATAAAAGAAAGGACGGCTCTAGGTGGGGGGTATTTATTATTGTCATTACTCTTATTACACTATTGAAGAATTGGATTTTACTGCAAGTGCTTATGGCCGTCCAGTAATTGAATAGTAGTAAGTACCAACCATGATAATGTCACAGGACTTGTACCTACCATGGACCTGGTTCATTAGATGCGTTAAAACACGTCCTTAGGTAAACAGAGCGTGGTGTGTACACACGGTGAGACAACAGTCTGTCTTGACAGTGTTCAGCCTGCTGACACCTGCTACCACGTGGAGGAAACCTGAAGATCTCATGCAAAGTGAAATAAGCCAGACACAAAAGGACAAATCCTGTAGGACTCCCCTCATCTGAGGGTCCCAGAGTACAATTCACAGAGACAGGAGGTAGAATGGCGGTGGCCAGGGGCTGGGGGAGGGGGAATGGAGAGTTAGTCTTTAAGGCAAATGGAGTTTCAGTCTGGGAAGACGAGAAAGTTCTGGAGATGGATGGTGGTCGTGGTTGCACGACAATGTAAATGTACTTGATGCCACTGAATTGTACTTTTAAAATAGTTAAAATGGAATCTTTTATGTTATGTAGATTTTAGCACAATAAAAAAGAAATCCATGCTTGCACTCAAGCCAGGCTGGAGATGGACTGTGGCCTTCAGAGTCAGGCAGGTCTGTGCAGGAATCCCAGCTGTCTGAGCGATCTTTGCCAAATACCACTTGATCTTGCTGAGCTTCCACTGTCTCTTCTGTGACACGAGGAAGAGGGGGCAAGAAGCATCTTGAGGGGCTTATGATGGCAGTTATTTCACAGACATCATCTCAAGTCACTGTCCCACAGCCCTGGGAGGTGGGTGGGTATTATTAGCCTCATTTTGCCGAAGAGGAGTTGAGACTCAGAGAGGTTGTGTGATGTGTCCAAGGTCACCGAGCTGGGGTGGAAGTGGTAGCCTTCCAAATGCAGATATAAATGCGAGGATAAAACTGGGCTCTGCGTCCCTGGCCCTGTGAGCCTCAGACAGCCCGTGAAGCCCACGCAGGATCTCCCCTCGGATTCGAAGACTTGGAGCCTACAAACCCAGATGCCCGATTTAGGGCCCGCTCTTCGGGTTCTGATACAAAATGCATTGTTTTCAAGCCATTATCCAGCCTCTCTCGGTTTATGGGTCTCTTATATTTACAAGTCCTGTGAATGTGCGATTGAAATAGACCAAAAGATGTGTCTCTAGAATCTTACGTGCTCGGAAATCAAAGCAGGGCACGTTGGTGAAGGGAAAGGTTGTTCCGAAAGCTGAAGTCTGAATTATGGGAATGGAGCCAAAATCTCAGTTCTGAGAGTAAAGTTCAAAATAGCCGGAGAACCAGATGAGATAACAGGGGTCGCCGCCAGGAGAAGTTGGTGGAATTTCAGCAGGAGGAAAACAAACCCGGTTGAGTTCTCTGGCTGAGAGCTAAAGGGTTCAGCGGGTCCGGGCCTGCCTCCCGCCCAGGGCACCGACACGCGGAGCCGGAGACACTGTGCACCAGTCCAAGGGCACCGTTTGTGTGTTCAGTAACACAAATGGCACCCCCTAAGTTGTGCCGTGTGCACCCCTCTCTGCCTCCGAGTTAGGAGGATTTCTAAGGACATCAAACACAATGGGGGGTGGGGATTCATGCACGGTGGTGAAGAAAGAAGTGGCAAATGTCCTTACTTTCTTAGAACTTGGAGACCAGATTTTAGAAGATGAAAGGAATATCACCATCATTTATGGAGCCCACTGTGTGCCACCACCATGCTAGGTTTTCACCCATTTTTGTCTCATTTAATCCTCAGCATCCCCCATTTTAATGATAAGGAGAGATGCTCAGAGAGGGTCAGTAACTTGCCCATGGTCACACAGCTAGCGAGTGGTAGAGCCAGAATTGGACCCCAGAACCATGACTCCATGTCTGTCTCTGTCCAGCTGCCAGCTGGGAAGACTGAACCAGTCTGGGCATGGATTTATCCAGGCAAAACTGGGCTGGAAGAGCCACTGGGGGCTGATGCAAAGAGAAAATTAAGCCACAGAAAGGCAATCGGAAGGGTTTGGGAATCAACAGAATGGGGGAAGGGACCCAGTCCTCTAAGCCTTGGGCCCGGGGCGACAAGAGTTGGGGTGACTCTTTATCAGCATCAGTGAGAACCAGCAACAGGGATGGAGCTGCCTCGCTTTGCCCCCTCTTCCCTGAGTCTCCACCCCTCCAGCTCTCACTGAGGGATGACCAAGCTGTCCCCAGGGGCCTGCACAACCTGGGGGCTCTGCTGGGACACTGGGGGACTGAAACGCAAGGCTCTGAATGTGGCCCAGGGAGCCTGTGGGGCACTTGGGGCCCGGGGCAGCCTGTGAGCCCAGCTCGGTGCAGGGAGCGGGGCTCTGCGTTCCGGCCCTGCCTTGGTCACTGCGGGCCTGCCTGGGGGCACGACCTCCCCTCTCTGAGACTCAGTTTCCTCACTTCCACACAGCGCAGGGAGGTGGATTCAGACGGTATTGCCGAGCTTTTTCCATCTCTAACATCCTCTGGTTCTAGAATTTGCCTCTGCTTCAGTCAGAAGGGCTAGCAGGCAGCCTTCTCTGGGGTGGTGGCCTCGTTTTGCAGGCTCTCCTGGTCCAGGTGGCTCCGCCGTCTCCTGCCCTTCTCCCCTAGCCTCCCGTGCCAAGGCTCAGGCCTCATAAGCCGATGCGGGGAGGAAGGGACGGGGTGGAGGGGGAGCGGGGGGAGAATCGTCTTGCCTCTCTGGGTCCCAACACCTCCCTACCTTTCTGAATTTTTTAAAGTGCCTTCACTCAGAACTCATCAAAAATGCATCAGGCTTGGGATTGGCCCAAGCTTTTGCCTGAGGAGGCAAGTGGAGGTGAAATGAGGGAGGAAACCAGGAGGCCGGCAGGCTGTGCAGGCACATGAGCGTCGGGAGCTGCGCTGGGGGCTCTGCCAGCCTCTCCGCTCGGTGGAGACGGGCTGGGGACCAAGGAGGCGCCCTGCCCTAGGAAGCTTGACCCCATCTCTGGGAGACCCCCTTCAGCAGTCTGGGCTGCCCCTTCCCCAAAGTGGAGCACAGCCTGTCTGCGCCCCCATTTCACGGGAGGTGGGGAGGATGGACGGAGCGCTGGGCGGGGCCCCGCTCTCTATGAGAAGGGATCGGGTGACATCCCAGCTGACTTTAAAGGAAGGCATTTGAGAGCTGCGGGACAGTCCAGGGGTCCACAAGGGGCAGACGCAGCCCCCGGCTTCCGAGCAGCTCCTTCCCTCTGCCTTGCATCTTTGGCTTCTGCAGGAGATTCTGTTTAGAATAAAAAAGAGCACCGTTCATTCTTTAAAGTTTGCAAGTCATTGACCCTCTACCTCTTCATTTTACAGAAGAGGAAACTGAGGCCACGAGTGGACAAGTGACTGGCCCAAGGCCATTGGGCCCGTCAGTGGCAGAGCTGGGACTAGAACCCAGGGTCCTGGCTCGCAGGCCAGGACCCTCGCTTCTTCTCCACTGGCCTGACCTTGACAATGGCCTTGTCTGGGTGTGTCCCTGTTCTCCCAAAGCAGAGGCGGACTTGCAGCCAGCAGGCAGCTTGCCTGACCGTGGGAGGATAGCATCCAGGTCAGCACAACTAGGCTGGCTGGATCTTTATCTGACGCCCATGATGGAACGTTCTGGATTGTGTGTGCCTTGTAAATGCCCCTGGCTTGAGTCTTTCTGTGGAACAAAGTCCCTTCAGCCCCAGTGGTACTTGGGTCTCAGCCCACAGAGCACTGGGTCGTCTGGTCCAGCTCTCCAGTCTTCAGAAGGGGAGATCGAAGCCCAAAGGGGTCATGGGTCAAATCGGCACTAGGCCTCCAGGGCCCGGGTTAGTGCTGCCTGTGCCTCATTGCTGCACTCCCAGGGCCTCTGTCCTCCTTCACAAGTGTCTCTCGGCCTCCACTGCCACCCCCTCCCCTCCAAGGTGTGACAAGGGCAGAATTGAGGGGGGACCCCCCAGAGTGGCTCGAACACCTCATCAGAGAGGCTTGGCTGGCTCTCAGCACCAGAACACCCACCGAGGACCCAGCGAGACAATAAACCGTGATAATCGTGTTTTTAATAATCGCCTGGAGTTTGTTTAACATACAATCACGGCCGACAATAAATCCAAATTAAAAGCCCAACCGGGAGGCCTAAGTTAAACGGCCTGGTTGGAAACGGGAGGGCTGAGGGGTGGGGGTGGGGGGCGGGAGGAGGGGGACAGAGGAAGGGTGGAGCCAGGAGAGGGGGAACAAGCATTCCTGGAGGCTAGGGTGCCCTCGGGAGGGCCGAGAGGCGGCGCAGGGCCCGGCCTGGCCCCAGCATCCTCCCCAGCCCTGGCACATGTCCTATTTTCTTACAAAAGGATTTCAGTGATGGTCCCAGCAGGGATGTATCTAAGTTCCCAACCTCAGATCCGTGAACAGGGAGCTGTCCTTCCCCTGCCTGCGGGCACCCGGTCCACGGGGCGGGACCTCACTCGCCCTGTCCTGTTCTTTATCCCCAGCCTCTGGCATCTAATAGGTCATCGGCAAATATTTGTTGAATAAACAGATAGAGGAATGAATACGAATGAACGTGCCCACATCCATTTATTCATTCACTCGGGGTTTTCGCCCTCAAATACCTGCTGAGCACTGCTACCCCTGGGGATAGAGATGAGGAGACCCCTGGTGTCTAGGAGCTCACCGCCAAGGGGACAGAGAAGCTGACGGATGATTCCAGTCTGCACGATGCGTACGGAGAGAGACGGGGTGAAGGGCAGGATTAACAAGGGCTTCCAGGAGGAGGTTTCCTGAAGCTGAGTCCTGAATGATGATTAAGTGTTAGGGGTCGGGGGGTGGGGTTGGGTGTGATACTGACCTGAGAACAGTGCTCCGGACAAAAGGAACAGCACGTGCAAAGGCGAGGAAGCAAGAGAGGACACAGCCTGTTCAGAGAGCTGAGGAAGGCTCAGGGAGATGGGAGAACAGAGTCAGGGCTGGAAGGCGAGGAGCTGGGAAGGGGGTTGAGGGGCCAGATGGTGAAGCTGTGAGAGCGTGCTCAAGAGTCTGGGCTTGACCCTGAGGGCAAAGGGAAGTTACCGCAGGGTTTCGAGCCCGGGGGTGCCATGACCAGAATTGTGGCCTTGAGAGATGACTCTGGCTGCAGCGTGGAGAATGGATCAGAGGGAGGGAGCCTGGGGCCAGCAAGCCGTTAGAGGCTGCCGTAGCGATCCCGGCTGGGGAGAGCGAGGGCCTGGACCAGTCAGGAGTGGGGAGATGGAGGGACCCGGGCACATCCGCTGAGAAGGGTCAAGGAGGGTGAGCAGAAGGCCTTGGCAACTGAATGTGGGAGTGGGGCTGAGGGCTGACCCCCGGGAGTCTTGGGCAGTGGACAGACGGCCGTGCTGAGGACGGAAGCCATGGCACACCTGGCAGAGACACGGGGTCTGCCGCAAAAGCCCCTCGGGGATGAAGTAGCCACCTGCCCCGGTGCCTGCAGCCTCTGATGGGAAGAAGGGTGGGCACCTCTGAGCTGCTCAGAGCAAGAGAGCCCACAACACAAGGCCGCCGCCCTGGGGGACACGTCACACTGGCCTCTGTGGCTGAAGCAGAGGCAAATTCCAGAACCTCGGGGCCCCTTGCCCCAGTGCCCGCAACTTCTCAAGGAGGACATACTTCCACGTGTCTGCCTTAGGGCCAGCCGACCGCAGTGACTTGCCCACGTGCCTCCCGTAGAAGGCAAAGTCGTGAATCCTATCGTGTCCAAGCTGGAGCAGGCCTTCGAGAAACATCCAGATCAACCCCTTCATTTGATGGCCTTGAAAAATGACTGGGGAAGGTGGTGACTTGCCCAGGGTCACCCAGCAAGTTGGTGGTGGAC